CGTGGCGGAGCGGGGAGGGCGGCGGCGCGGCGCGGTGGAGGCCGTGGGTTCGCGGCCCGCGCGGGGCAGCACCCGAGGCGCCTGGGCAGGAGCGTGGCGATCCCACTTGGCTCTATCCTCCATCCCTGCCGTGTCCTCCGAACCGGGCTCAGCGCTGCCCTGAAACGCGCAGAAACAAGGCCCACCATGGCCATTACCGAGAGCCGCCATCTCTTTGCCGAGAGCCACCATTTCCTTCATGAGAGCCGCCACCTCCGCTCGTTCTGGGGGGGCCGAGGTTCATTCGCGGGGGGCCGAGGCCGAGGTTTCAAGCCTGGCCACTCTCCAGCCTGGTGCCGCCACCGGAATGGCCTCTGGGCACCCTTGGGAAGGAGAAAAGCTGCTCTCCACCATAAGCTGTTGGGCAGCTCCAGGCCRAGTTGCCTTCACGGAGCAGTCATGGTGGAGAGCATAAGGAAGAAAGGTGCAAGCTGGCAAAAGCCGTCACCTCCGGGCAAAGAAAGAGGAATGTGGAGGGGAAAAAGATGGAGGGATTTCCTTAGGCCCACAGCATCGAGCCCGTGGACAGTTAGCACGAAGGTCCGGGGCAGCACAGCCCAGGCCCAGCAAGAAACACCCTCATTTCCACCTTCTTCCTGTCCTACGGATACCCGGGATGCCCAGGGAAGCGCCCCAGCAGCGACCAAATTCCCCCAGTTCCTGCCCATTTCTTCCCCGCTCCCGAGCTGTGAGAAACGCGCCCGAGGCAGTGGGCAAGTTCACTTATCTCCATCTGTAACCGAGAAAGCCATTTATTAAAGTTATATTTATTAAAGTTACATTTATTTAAAGTTATTTATTAAAGTCAAAGCCATATATTTAAAGTTACTGAAGTAACTGTTAGCGTAAGCAGCCCCAGCAGATGAATATGCATGTGCTGGGATTTACGCCGCGGCCGGTGGGCAGGATGCAAAGCAAATGAGTTATAGGAAATGCTGCCCATGCAAATGCGCAGCTCCCCTATAACTTCTTGCTATAAAAAATTTGCAACCCTGGAAGTCTTTTTTTTTTTAATCCCGTAACTTATTTGCATTGGAGATGTAGTAATAAAATAATGCCTGGTAAATAAAGCGCTTGTATTTCTGCGCAAAGACGCATTCTGAAGTGTTCTAGTGAGAAAGGGGAGCTCTGAATCAGCAGGGGATGAGAAAATAGGGAAGTGCTGCCGAACCGCGCAGCTGCGGGCTCCTTCAAAACCAGCATCTTTCACTTTATTTCCCAGCCCTTTACCTGCAGAAGGGTCGTTATCAGCGAGCCAGGCTCAGCACCGTAATTTRCAGGAACAGAAAAGCGACTGTTTTCACCAACAGTCTCATTTTCATAATTTCCTGCCAGCAAAAGCTGGGGCRAGGACCCAGACAGGAGCAACTGATAAGTGTCTTTGTGTTAAAAGAGCGAATAGGAGAGTCATTCATTTCAAGTTTGGAAGTAAAATAGACCAAATGGTTAATAACCCAAATTGCTTCAGGGTGAGGAGGAGGTCACACAGCTCCGAGGTGTTTTTGGTATCACAACCCACCGCRCTTGCTTTTCCCAGGCTGGGTTCCCGTTGCCTTCGTCCTTCTGCGCTCCCAGGAGCTCCCTTGGGGTCCTTCATTCCCACCCTCAACGCAGCCCTGCCCAAGTGATGCTAAATCACAGAAAACAGCGTTTATCACCGTTATCCTTGAGTATTAGGTGCTTTAAGCTGGACTACCAGCACCTTCCTTAATTTATACATGCAAATGACCTCTGGTTTAGCCTCTTGATTAACAGCTGCCCTGAAACCAGGCACACACAGAGCTGCTCTTTACCTGTGCATGGCCCACACAGCTGGCGAGGTTTAAGGAAAACTCATTTGCAATAATGCAAGGGGGATTCTGCTTTCAAAGTATGTGTCTTCTTTGCAATCTTATTTTTTTGGCCAAGGAGAAGCAAATTAAGCATTTTCTCCAACAATGACAACGTTCCCTTACTCTAAAAAATTTCAGATCCACCAGCACCCTGGGTGACAGTCCAGAAACAGAGCAGGGTGCTGGGGTTAGTTTAAGTGACCACTGGATGTCACTATTGCTTTTAAGAGGACATCAAGGCAGCCTCGTGGATGGAAAACGTCACCCAATATCCCCTAAGCCCTCCCCAAACACACACTGTGTTAGTCTGGATTAGCAGGAGGTCCAAAATAAAACCCACGGCCACTTGGTTTCACTACACGGAGGTTTATTATGAAAGTTAAACGTACAACACAAAGAGTAGCAAAAGCAATCCTGGAGCTTAAGGCAACTCGCACAGGAGATGAATTCCAGAAAGATGATGCAACTTCAGTTTAAATAGAAATTATGAAAAATATCAAATTGCATCAATAACTTAAAATGCACTTTAAAAAGTCTGCACTAACCAGCAGAGGGGAAGGGCTTGTGATCTTAATGCCAGCATTAAGATACCGTAAGCAGCAGAAGGCTAAATGATGATAGGTAAAGTTCAGTATTTACACCAAGAGAGCGAGGTTAATATGCGATAGCGTAATTTCCTGTGTACTTATGGTTTAAAACCACGGTCTGAAACATTAGGAAAACCTTTTAAAATAAATCTTCAGACTATTCCATCAAAAATACACAGATGGCAGAGAAGATCCGAGGCCAGGGATGCATGTGTGTTTGTGTGTGTGTTTATGTGTTTGTGTCCCTTAAATAACTCATTGCAACAACACTTTAGAAATATTATTTCTTTGGGGGAAGAAGAGCAAGAAGAATACGTGGCCACAGCGTGAACATGGCTATTTCCCAGGTGAATCACATTTAAACTGAAGTACCAAAATATTTCTATGCGATGACATTTCTCACAGTTTACAGTTATTGACATTTAAGTGAATGTTCAATATTCACACGATTAACATACAAAKGTTCTCCTTCACATTGACATTTCTYGTGGTTTTGCAAGACCTCTTTTGCATCGTTTGTTTTGCCATTAATGAGGAACGTGATCATCTTAATGATAGAATTAAAGATTTAACCGTTCTAATCACACAGAGATTCAGGTTTCACAATCATTCTTAAAATGCTGAACTAGATCACTTTTTTTTTTTTTAAAAAAAGATACCTAAACGACATTTTTATTATTCGGGTTGTACAGAAAGCACCTCATTTTCTGACAATGCCAAATGACATCACACTTCCAATCCACTTTCTTAAGAGTATCAGATGCAATGAAAAACTTGAACAAATCCATTGAGCAACATCCCCCCCAAAAGTGTGACACAAATGAATTCATCCCAAATCTTACCCTGTTAGAAAATGCAATATATACTCCAATGTAGTTTTAACTTGCATAAGGTTTTCAYAGAGGTGTCCGATGCACAGTAGGAGATTTTCTGCACACAACCTCATCTCAGCTTTTCACCATTCAGCACAGCTTTACAAAAAGCRTTAAGATATAAAATATACTTAAAGCAGCTATCTTAAACATGATTTAATATACATATCACCTTGGCAGCCGATCACTTGTGTTCCCAGTTTAACGTGCTGTCGAATCTCAGAGTTGCAGTATCCCTTTTAAGAACTGTTTAAAAAAATCCCTGAATAAAACAGAAGCCAGCCTGCGACTTCCCATGAGTTTCAGTAAAGTACTATATACAGGGGTATAATAACCACTCAAACCCACTTAATACAGAATAAAATCTAAGAGAGATACTTGGGCAGGATGCATGAGTATACACACGCATATGCACATGTGTGTGTGTGTGTGATTTTTTATATATATATAAAGATAGTATTGTTTAAAAAGTGGAACTGATGAATTGTTAGCAGTTAAAAGCATACTGCAACTGCACCAACAAACCTGTGTGGTTTGAAGTTTGATTCCAACAGCTCTGTGTCACTGGGTTTAGCTTGGAAATATGCAAAATAATGTCAGCAGTTTTCAAAAGGTCTTGCAAATTTAGGAAAAAAAAGAAATCTGAAAGAAAGTTTAAGAATGCGTATCTAAAATGAAGCAGGAGCACAACAAGGACAATCAAAATTTCCAAAAGCCCATATTAAAAAAAAAAGAAGCTTGGAATGCATTGGCTTCCAGCACTTTAAAAAAAAAAAAAAAAAGACAAAAAAATCTGTAATACCTTGACCTATTTAAGTGACAACTTTTATTACAGTTGAGAAATACGTTTTTTATAGCTGCATAAGTTTCCATTTCACTAAAATAGTGCCACCAAAAATAAGTTTGCATAGAAAAAAACCAAAATTTCCAATTGCCACTGGCTACATGCTTAACGTGGGAAATGCAGGTATCGTAACATAAACATAGTGCAAACCATGGCAGTTCGTGGTGACGTTCACTGCCGCAGGTCAGGAAACAGACCGTCGTATACCCAGTTCTCACAGTTTCTGGTCTTCTCGTCTATCCTTGGCCAAGGAGAAGCAATGCAGGGGTGCAGACCCGTGGCTGCCGCCTGTTAACGGAGCTTGAGGTCATCGCCGCTTCCTAGGTTGGAGCCAGGACTAGGGTCTTGTTGCCTTCTTGCCTGCATGGAATGGCCTTGGTTAGGATCTAAGAAGCGGTGCGGGAATCATCGGTTTATTTAAGCAAATCAAGCACATGCACAAGACCACAGACAATCCTCAAGCAGAAAAATGACACTTCAAGCATGCGTTTTTAACACCAAAACCACCCCCTTTGCCCCCATGCCCATCCCCAGCGCCCCTCTCTGCTCTGAGAGGACCCCTGTGGCTGGGGTGCTCCTCAGCGCTGCTCCACGTCAACCAGCAACTCAGGGYGAAGCAACACTTTTGTGCCTCTTCTGCCGCAAACTAACGAAAAACCCAACAACAGAACCCATTTTTTGCTTTGAATTTCCCTCCAGTTAATGGCTTCTGGAAGTGCTCCACATAAATGCTCTCTAGGATCAGGATCTTGAGGAGAAAGGCGACATGGCAAGCTAGCACGGTCAGTCACCTCGTTCCCRGATACATCCCTCCCCACACAGTATTTGTGCAATGAACATTTAATTGAGCTTTCTTTAGGGACAAAGAGACTTCCCCATTTACACATCATCAACAACCCAGTACAATTTAATCTACAGGTTTGACCAAAACCGCTCACGCTTCTCGGAGTTTCCCTACAGCCTATATTTCACTTTTGTGTCARGCCTATATAATTAGCAATAACTCAAACCTGAGACTGCTCGGGTACTTAGGACATCATAATGCCAGCTCTCCTTCAAAATAAATGGCTCTGTTAAACTGTTGGAGTTGACAGCAATTTCGAGAGGAAATTAAGGAGAGTCAATATCAGTCATACTAAAAAGACTCTTACTATTATCTCCACTTGAGGAATGAGCATACACGTAGCTAGCACATTTGTCCTTTGGGACCAACGGGCTCCTTGCCTGCTCACGTGCTTTAAGAGCCATCCCTTAAGTGAAGCGATTTGGCCAGGCAGCATCCCCTCCATGCACACACACACACACACACACACACACACACACACACACACACACACACTGTATTGGCCACGCAGAAAACTCTATTTCAGCGTGTGCTGCTCAAAAATGCAATGCTGAATTCTTTCCTGCTTTGTTTGCAGAGCAAGGTCCGGCTAAGAATGAAGCAGATCTTCATTCTTCCTAAAAATTCTTCCTAGGTCAGGGGTACGCCAGTTTAAAAMATAAACCCCAGGAGGAGGAAGCATCTGCAATAAACATTAAGCGTTCAGAAGCAGCCAAACGTTGATTTAATGACCCAACGCCAGTTCCGCTGCCCCAGGCTGGGAAACTGGGTRTAAAGCCTTCAAAACCTGCCCAAAGCCATCAAGATTGCTTGAAAACTGCAGGGAAAACGTCCAAGAAAGGGTTCTTGTTTGCAAGACTGAAATCCTGGGATATCACTGATCCCCTGCGGGAGACTGCCAAAGGCTCCTRTAACAGCTACAGCCACCTTGAGACAACCAAAGACAAGTAGCATTTATTACCTCTCATTATTACTCCTTCTGACAGATTTCTATTCCGGAGCCGCATTCCCAGTTGGTGGAAGTCATCACCGCGCGGGTCAGTGGCGCCCCGCAAAGCTCCCCAAAAAAGCCGGCGGCTCCAGCGAGCCCCGGGCAGCCACGACCGCGCCGAACAGCACGAGGATTTCGGGCGACCCATGACTAAGAGCGAGGCAAGCRCCGAGCGCCCTTCTGACTCACACAGCAGCAGCCAGGCCGCCTTCCCGCCATGGCGGCCGCCATGAGGCCTCCATGCGCYGCCTGCCACCACGAGGCCTCGCCCGGGGCTGCTGGTCGCCTCCGGGCTCCTTCCTCGCTCCCCTTTGGGCTCCTTCCCTCCTCATCTCCCCCTTCCCGACCCTTCTTGCCCAGCTCTGCTCCCCAGGGCATCTTCTACCCTCAGGACAGGCCGTCCTGCCTCCTCCTCCTACTTAAAACTGTATTTTAAAATACAGTTTAAAACTGTAATTTATGTATTTTTTTAAACCTCCCATTTAAAATGGTATTTTCCTTTGCTATTCTGARGGGGCTCAAAGTCCCTGCAATAAATCCCTCTAGTTATCGGGATATTTTCATAGAGGTTGTTCCCGCCCTGCTCCTCCTTCAGTGGCCACAGTTTACTCAGAATTGCAGTTTTTAGCTATCACACTTGATATCCAATATCAAATCAATTACCTTTGATATCCAATATCAAATCAATTACCTTTGATATCCAATATCAAATCAATTACCTTTGATATCCAATTTAACTACCACATTTGATATCTAACACACCTCTGTATCTACCAGAATGCAGCTACATAGTAAGCCGGATTTTACATGTTGGGGAAGACCTCTTGCTCGGTGATATTGGTCATACTCAGACTACAGGAAATGACCTGTTTTTCCTACGTGCAGAAAACCATAGAAATTGCCCAAGACTATACTGAGATGTTTTGCTTATGACTGCCTCTCTTCTWGGAAGAGCCCAAGTCATGTGCTACCTTTAAGAGCTACCAAAAATCTTAGACTGAGCTATTTTGTGACTAGTTTTGTACTCACTTTTGTACATTTTTTTACACTTACTAGAAAACTCAGCGAGTTAAACTTCTGCACTTCTGCTTTAAAAGTAGCCGGGTTTCCTCCTCGGAGCCCAAATTATCCACACAGCAATTTTATTGTCAAATTCCAACGCCGACTCCAAGGTACGAGGAGCATATGGTTGCACTTAGGCTTTTCCTAAAGTGGCCTTTTCTTTCAAAACATATGAAAAAACCCACATGATTTACGACATCAGCGCCACTCACGGGGTTTGCAGAAGCCACTACCGAACAACTACCAGATTTGCCCTTTCAAGTGACACGCAGAAAGCATGACAAATCACCCTCAAACGCACTGAAAATGGGCAGCACACAATCACGCTTGGAGAAGGGGGGGAAAAGGTGTAATTTTGCATTTCAGTAAAGGGGATTTACACCCCAAACTTCCAAATGCTGGTGTGACAGCTCAGCCTCCCTCAGCAGGCTGGGTGACGAGGTATGAACACATTCACATACATGGAACATCCTTATCCCGCTCCTCGGGGTCCTGCCGAAGCACGAGCACAGCGTGCAGTGCCTACTCCTGTGCTTTACACAGTGAAACAGTTTTACAGCTCTAGCTAAAATTAAAAACACTCTCGTGTTGAAATGGGGCCATTTCTGAAATCAGAAACAGGAGAAATCACCTTGCATGCAGACAGCACGCTGGGGTGGATCAGGAAGTAAGTGGTATTTTTGGCTGCTGACAAAGGGCAAAATASCAATTTCATTAAAAAGAATGCCACAGGTTTCTCAATGCTCCCTTGCAGGGGAAATCTGCCCACCCGTGTGGCGGTAGCTGCAAGATCTCCTCACAGGCTGCTACAGGAAGCTAAAAGTTTGCTTTTACAAATGGAAGAAAATAGAGATTTCCACAATTTTCTCCACTTTGGTTCCCATACCCTCAGCACAGCTAAGGAGTCCTCTGAAGTGCAGCATTTGCTGGAGCTTTTGAAACGTGTCTCTCACGACAGCAGGGCCCAGCAGAAGCACCAGAATTGCTCTCGGCAAGGAAGCGACGAGCCCGACTCTGAAGACACGGGAGACTCGCTTCGATTAAAAAAAGATGCATCTGTTCTTTTGCAAGTGGAAAATGGAATATCCTGCCATGAGTCATGAGAAAACAGTAGTCATTCATCTTATCTCAGCGCATTTCATTTTTCAGGGAAACGCCAATTTTAAATTTGGAGGAGGGACATGGTGAACATTACTCAGCTGCTACTTAGTGAAAGGCTCTAACCTTTAATAGAGTTGTTGGAGCTGCTAAATCATCCTCTTGGTGTCAAATAGGGAGTTTCCTGAGTGCTACCAAGAGCAGGCTGTGAGGAAGCCTCATTAATAGCACAGAGATCCCACTGTGCTGGTAGCGCTCCTAAAATTGAATGTGGCTTCATCACCACCACCCAGTTCCTTCCAGATATCCTGAAATTGGATAGTTAATGCCATGGGTGCACAGGGAGTTTCCATACCCCCAAATACTCCGCACTCAGCTTTCAGCACATGAGGCCATGCAAACCTTCTGCAATACGGAAGGAATTAGCACTGGCCACAAGCCATTTCAAACCTCTGAAGCAGGAGATGGTATGATGATGGACTGCAAGAATTGCAGGAACGTATCTGGCAAAAATAAAATAATAAAAAAAAAGTTTCAAAGCCTCCCATAACATGCTATTCTAGATTTACTCATGCTGAGCTGGTTACTGACACCACAGGGTGAGTAACTACTAGCAAACAGGAAAGGCTGTAACAAAATCACTCTGGGCTCGAGCGCAGACAAAAGCAAAGGCAACTTACTGCAGCAGGCTGAATCCTAGGCTCACTTCAGCCCTCTCTGCTCCTGAGCTTCTGCCAGCTCTAAACACAGCCTAACTAGGGAAAAATTCATGCTAGACTGTAGCTCTATTCTGTTATTTTCCTTAACAAACGAGAGAGCTTGAAGTCGCTGAATCCCTTAGGAGAAATCGTGGCTCTCGTGGACAGGGGGCACGCTGGAGCATTTGCACTGCTTGCTGAGGTGAAGGCAGCTCCAGGAACAGTGACTAAGGGAGAGGGTCCCGACCAGGCTGCAGCTCGGCACGTGGGCTTTTGGAGCTGCCTTTGAACGGGTTTCTGCAGCTCTGTGTGAAAAATAACACACGCCGGCAGTGCCACGCTGTTTGGGCCTCATTTCTACTTGCAATAACTCATATTTACCTTTGTTAGCCTCAAATTCTGCAGTGAGTTCTTACAAAGCCTTAGACAGGACCTGTCAAACGTGTCCATGACCCAACGCACCTTATGAGATGGGTCCCTCTTCCCATCTCCTTTTCTATCATGAGCCTCTTTTTTAATGAATCACTCAAAAAAGTGGTCAGAATCGGGATGTCTGAAGACAAGGCAGTAAAAATCACAAAAACAAGTGGCCCCTGGGCTGCTTATACCCCTGGGATGCTGGCGAGAGGGAGGAAGAGGATTTGGAGAAGGGCTGTCATGCGGAGTA